TCATAACGGTCGAAGTCGTCGGCGCATCAGGACTGGCTGAAACATTAGGCACTGGTGCAGTACTGAGCCGAGGGGCCGTGTCTTGCTTACGCTTAATTTGATCCTTGAAACACTTGGAACAAAGGCCTTCGGTGGCTGCAGATCCAAAGAATCCACATCCAGCACGGCACAGTGACGTTGAATGCTGTTGATTTTCCATCACCGCCAAAATGAAGTTATGGAACCAACGCCTGCAAAAGACAAGTTTCACTTTTTAGAGTTAACCGTTAAAAAAAAGTACGCGCCAAAAAAGAACAGACCGAAGGAACGAATCAAAAGCACCAGAACACTTAATAAATAACTAAAGTCAAAAACAGCATCGACGAACGAAAGTTAGTTCAAAAAATAACAAAACAGGTTAAAACTACTAGACAACTGCAAACAATATAAAACACACAATTCACTCAGAGCCTGCCAACTGCTAAGCACATAAATTTATACAAAAAAAATGAACGCAAAAATTTTTAAGGTGAGCTCCAACGCCCAAAACAATAAGTTCTCATCAGCAAGACTCGTTCCCGCTCATATAAATTTAAAACAAAAAAAATGCATAGCAATTATACAAGACCGATAAATACTGAATACATACAGACTAGTTACTAAGCTTTCAGTGACATCCAGTCTGGTGCGGAAGCATCTGAAAAAACAGAACTTTATACATTACGCCATCCAGACGTATGTGTGACATATGGCACAAGAACTTTATCACTGATAGTGAAAAGACAAAAAAACCTGAAATACTGGGTAAAAATATTTCTCTCTCTTCTTCCCACTTAAACAGATGAGTCTAGAAACAATTATTACATTCTTCTTTGGCATTTAGTGCTCCAAACGAAGGCTCTAAAGCAATAAAACCAAGCAATCAATACAACTAACTCCTCTTTTTTACTTTCAATGAACCTGAAAATTATATCTCTGTCCGAAACAAAATTAAAGGCAACGTAAAATAATATGCCATCTTAACCTGAAAAAAGTTGCAATAACTTTTTTTCAGAAGCGATGAGGTTGTTTGCAGGAGATGCCGCTGCACTTACCCTTACAAATACTGCTTCTGTGCCACCGCTTTCTGCTTCTGGTTCGCCCAAATAATGAACACCTTAGCATGATAAATAACCAAACAAATTTCTCAAAATGCTCCATGAAAACACCTGCAATAGCATTGACAAATTTAACTACCTAACTAAATAACTTTAAATGTCCTTTTTCATATGCCATAACTGCAATGCCAACAATAACTGTACTGTACTGCTTCAGACACACAAAACCTTAACTCGGCTGAACTCAACAACCAACACACCCCTTTTTACCCAATGCAACAACCATCACTGAAGACTCGCAAAAATCAATAATAACTAAAGCCACCACCACAGCCGACACAACGCCAACAAAAATACACAAACTCCAAAAATACTGCGCCCAACCAGGTGGAAACAGGAATAGCAACATAAAACTAATACTAACCCTAAGCCTCAACCTATCCAACATCGAAAGTTTAACACAGTCGTTTTCTAACGACCAACCAATCACCGCTTCGTCAAACAGAAATACAAATTCAAAATCCATCGGCATTAATTAATTATTCAATACTCCAAATTGATTCCCATCCAATTATAATCTTACAAAAAAAAGCTACCCTTATACAACATATATATTTATATATAACTAAATTAGTGGTGAAAAACTTCAGCGTTCGGTTGGCAGAAATAACGAATTCTTCAGTCCACCAACTAACCGCTATATAAAGTACAACAAACTATACACCTCCGGGGGAACCAAAAAACTTTCACAACACATTATCACCACTAACGACAATGAAAATTCTGTCGAGTCTGACAAAAAAATTTGTGAAATAATTTCTATACTTGTGGTATAATAACGTCCAAAATCCAAAAGACAATAAACAAATCACTCATCTTCTAAAAAAATCATCAAATACAAAAAGTGCTCTAGAATTTTATAGTCACTAAAACAGCATTCAGGGAAAATTAAATTGAATCAATATAAGTAAAAAAGAAAGATTTGAAGAAAGATGTCACCAAAAAATAAGATAAAAACCAATACAGCGACGTCCGTACAAAAAATTTCATAGAATTACACATTTGTGCCAATTCAGCCAAAACTTCTAAAAAAAATTTTTTTGAAACTGATAATGCTGTTTAAACAACTCTTCTGTCCATACAATGAAAAAAAAAACTGAACACTCTATCACACTACTGCCACAATTCGAACGAATACGAAAGGTACACGCAGACGACAAAAGAGAAGACGATTCCTCACCTGCCTACCTTCAATGAAAGAGCTTTCCGCACCCAACCTTCCCCTTAATTTTCCAAAAAATAAATTAATTAATTAAATAAGAAAAAAAAGAGAAACGTGGATGAAAAAACACAGATGAGACAGCACCTCTGCCGAACAATTAAATAAAGAAGATTTAAGCATTCGCCTTCAGAGCAAAACAGCACGCAGCGAACGGGATGGAACGCGTGGCGCGACTTCAAGAAGACGGCAGAATGAGGGCCAGTGATGCCAATTCATTGATGTAACAACAACAATCCGTTCTCTTCTGTACAAGATCACCACAAACCTCACGCAGGTCCGTGGATCGCAGCACTTCACCAAAGCAAAATATGGACCTCAAAATCACAAAAGATTCTTTTATACTTCTATCCAGATCTGATTAACTAGGCTAATACTCATGCGGCAACATTTCCCCAAATGGCATACAATGGAAAATAAAAAAATTCCATCCTAAAAGAAGCTCCATTCTAAGTTGTGAAATCAATAACCGATAACTCAAAAAAATAAAATAAAAAAAACACAACAACAGGCAGACAGTAAAAACAACAAAAGGATGCTTTAAAAAAGTTGAAACTGAAGCGGAATAGACAGATAGGAAGGTGTAAAAGCTGGCATGGTGAGTTAGTTTTTGAATGCAATAGGCGAACTGGATGATTGCAATTGTCGTCATCGATGTGTGTGTCTGTGTGTGTGTGTATGTGT